TTAGTCTCTAAACTGACATTGTTGCTTCTCAGTACTCTGGAGAGGTCACTGACAGCATTTTTACCTAATGCCAAATACATAGTATAAGCCAGTAATTTTATGAGTTACAAGTCTAGGGCTAGCAAGATCACATAAAAGTGATTTCATTACTAGAAAGTCCCTGAATTGACATGTTTATGGTATTGCCAGTAAGCGTTCACCCATTAGCATATTCACCTATTAGCATCAAAACTTGGATTATTTGTCCAATGAAGCAGTCACTTGTGATACGACACTGATTGTATCAATTTTGAAGGACTTAGACAAGCAAAAAAAAAAAAAACCACAAAGCAGGAAGCACCACTTGGATTTTTTTTTTCTGATCAAATTTAGTACTACTTACCGTAAGTTTAAAGAAACAACTGTTCTAAAAGTGATCAAAGATTTCTAAAGTAAAAAGACCTTGCCCTCCAGGACTTTACAGTCTGTTCACAGAAATTAATTAAGGCAAAAATGTAAGTGTGTTTAATGTAAGACAACCACTCATTTTTCAGTTTATCTTACTGTAGAAGCTTGCATGTTGATGGATGCAATATATCTCTCTTGGAAGTGCAGCCAGAGTACTCCTTAAAAGCAAGGACGGTGAAATTTCATCTTAGACACTTTTGGCATGTTCCCAGGAGGGACAAGTCCATGGAGAACTACAACATCCTTGGAAAAATAGAGAGTCAGCCGGAAAAAGAAAGACCCTCGACAAATGGATTGGCACAGTGACTGCAATGATGGAATTAAGTCAAGTTTCTAAAGATGGCAAGGGGTCAGCCAGAGTTCTGTTCTGTTGTACGTAAGGTCATAATGAGTCAGAGCTGACCTGATGGCACCTAATAATATTATAAAACATAGAAATTTATAAATGCTTCAGAAATAAGAGCAAGATAAAAGAACTTTTCCGAGATGTTTTTTTTTCCAAGGCTGACAGGCATCTACACTGAAATTCCCAGACCAAAATAATAATGATAATAAAAGAATGTTAGAAAAGTATCAATTTCTGTAGTTAGAAAACCATCAGGAAAGTTTCATACTTTCTTGCTCTTATTGTTTACTTATTTATGTGTCTTTCTACTGAGCTGTAGTATTTTTCATGGTATGATATATCTTACTGTAGCTGCAGTTTCTAGATGTGCTTGGTTCATAAAATAAAGGAGTGTAATATATCTTTGGTAATGAAACTTGTTTTCTAATTTAAAAAAATTTCATTACAAAGCATATTCATTGAATAAACTTTATACAGCTAAAAAAGCTGTTTTCTTGTCAAAAAATAAACATACTTAAACTGCTTGTATGCTTAGATATAATTTGCTCCATACAAAAGTAAAACATCACAGAAAAGATCAAAACTAACTTCTATAAACCTGAAGAAAAATTAGAAGCAACTATCCCTTTCATTCCCTTACTTCTTACTGGTTCTTATATTTTTCTAGTATATAAATGACTAGTCCAGGACCTCAATACAACTAAGTTATAAATGGAGTCACATTTCCATAGTGATAAATCACACGTGATCCTATTTTTAAGTGTTATCTTACAGTTTTGACTAGAAAATGTTACTCAGATTCAAAACGAAATTATCTTTAAGGTCCTTCAAGCTTTGAGAATTTTGTAATCTTACTTTTTCTCCAGGGGAGAAATGTCATTTTAAGAGTAAAATCATCTTAATATGTCTCTTTTGGAGCACTTAGGACATTGTCATTCCTCTTAGAATGCAAACTCTTAGGGAGAGTACCTTTAAGTCAATTCAGTGAAAATGCCTGGAGTAACAGTTAAGTTTAATAAGATGCAATAACCAGAGTCTCTCAGACTACTTAGCATATGTGCATGTACTGTAAACTGGTTTAAAAATATAAGAGCATCTTTGTCTCAAGTATCAAGTGTCTGGGTGCAGGGAGTTCAGAACTTTTAGAGCAGCTCATCATTGTCATTAAGGATTTGGGTTTTGTTTGTTTTGGTTTTTGGGTTTTTTTTTTCTTTTTCTCTCTTATGATTCCCTGCTCATTGTGTGGACTTTCATCCTATATATTAGGCAGGTAAATGTTTTGTCTTCTTCAAACTTTCTTTTTTGTCTTTTGAGTAGGAAGCCTATCCCAGGAATTTGCTCTTAGGTTTCAATGAGCAGAAATATATCATATGGCCACTCTTAGCTGCAAAATGCAGGTTGTGGATGGCAGTGAGAAGAGCCAGCCCATACTACTGTAATTATTCCCTTTATGTCTACTATCTATAAAGACCCAAGGAGAAGTTCAAATTATGTATACTTGAGGGGATGTTGTTGTTGTGTGCCATAGAATCAGAATCAACCCATAACTGACCCTCTAACAAGTTTTCAGAGGCAGTTAATCACACAGGAGGTAATTGCCCATCCCTCTCCTGAGAAACAGCTGGTGGATTTGAACCACGTACCTTTGGTATTGTAGTGCAACCACTAGGCCACCAGAGCACCCTACTTAAGGGTGCATTGTTCTACAAAGTCTCCATTATTTAGTAATACATTTTTAATTGAACAAGTATTTCCATTTATTGCTTTCTATGTGCTACATAATCTGGAAATATTGTAGATAACAATAGTTAAGAGAAGAAATAGCTTTTCTGCTCTTCTGAAGCTTAAAATCTACTGAGAGAATGCATACACACAAGCACCAAGGAAGAAAAAGAAAGGAGGGTAAAAGGAATCACTATAGTAGAGTTCTGGGGGTTTAGTCTATGGAGCATTGCAGCGCCTCTCTGGCTGGTTGAGTCTACAGCTGCTCCTTGGGAGAAAGATGAGCAATCTCCTCCCATGTAATTCCCAGCCTCCAGAAAGCTACTGAAAGATCAGCTGTAAATAGGTTCTGACTCAACAGCAATGAGTGAGTGAATCTATGAAAAATATTATGCAAAGATCTCTCTGATGAAGTGATATATGAGTATGAGTAGAGGCCTGAAAGATATGAGAGAGTGCAATATAAGCAGAGGAAAGAGCAAGGACAAAGGAATTTAGCAAAAAAAAAAAGGGGGGGCGGCAGAGAGAGAGAGAAAGGGAAGGAAGGAAGGAAGGAAGGAAGGAAAGGAAAGGAAGGAAAAAAGAATGCATTTTGGCAAGCTCAAGGTGAACCAGTGAATGAGTATGAAGCACAATGAGGGAGGGCAAATGGTAGCAGATAAGAACAGTATTGACTGTAAAAGTTTGAGCCTTTTGTAAACCATAGAACATTTTACTCTCCATGAAATGGGAAACCATCAGACGACTGTAAGCAGAATTTAGCATTATTTGACTGACTGTTTAGATGAATTTGAGTAAGTCCTGTGTAATAATAAGTTGTAATGAAACACAGATAGAATCAGGGAGACCAGTATGAGGCTTCTTATTTTCCCAGGAAATAAATGATGGTTGAAACTAATGTTAAAGTAGTAGAAGTAACGAGAAGTTACCAGATCCTGTGCTGCCACCTCACAATACCCACTCAGTGTCATTGATTGTTTCTTACTCATGGTGACCCTCCATCAGGTTTTTGACTCTGTAAATCTTAGTAGGAGGAGACTGCCTAAAATTCACCCATGAAATAACTGGTATATTTAAACTCCAAATTTTTGGTCAGTCAATTCAACATGTGATGCCACAAGAACTCCTTATCAGAACCTAAATAGAATTCAAAAGTAGTTGAGAAATGGTTGCAATGAAATAAAAGAGTCAAGGATGTGCACAAAGTTGTGACCTAGTAACTGGAAGAATGGACTTGCAGTACACTGGGATGGGAATTGCAGGAGAATAAAGTAAGTATCTGTGGATACTTTAATAAAGTAGGTGGATAGGCTATGCAACCAAGAGTTTGATTTTACATGTTGTGTTTGAGTTGCCTTTTACACTTCCAAATATGTATTGGATAATTTACAAGTCTAGAGATGTACCAGCTATTGGATGGTAGAAAAATTGTTTCTAGAATGCAGTGGTTGAGATTATAGGTATAAAATTAGGAGTCAGTCTGTAGTTGATATTTTATGCCATGGTACTGTATGAGATCACATAGAGAGTTGAGATAATAATTTTGTGATATAACCCTTTCTGAGAAGAAAGAAAACCTTATGAAATCCTGAAGAAATTCCAGTTTGGAGTACTTTTTCCTATAACCAGGTTATTATGTGTTCAAAATGTAGTGTACTGGCTAAAAATATGAACTCCAAAACCTATATTTTAATCCTGGCCCTTTTATTACTCTGATTTGTAGTATTTGCAATATGTTTTGTTGTTGTTGAGTACCATAGAGGTGGAACCAGCTGACCCTCCAGCGGGTTTTCAGAGGCAGTTAATTGCACGTGAGGAGTTTGCCCATTTTTCTCTTGTAGAGCAGCTGATAGCCTCGAACCACGTGCCTTCAGGCTTGCAGTGCAGCTTCTTGCCATTAGTGGGGGGGAGAGAGAGAGAAAATTGTTGCTTTCTTCTGTTGAGTCAGAATCGACCCACAGCTGACTCTCTGGAGGGTTTTCAGCCGCAGTAAAATCTCACAAGGAAAAGATTGCTCCTCCTCCTCCTCCTGCAGAACAGCTGGTAGATTTGAACAGCATGTCTTAAGGATTGCAGTGCAGTTTCTTGTCACTAAGCCACCAGTGCTTCACACACACACACACACACACACACACAATCTCAGTCTCTCTAAACCTTGTCTGTAAGTAAGTGCTTCCCCATGAAGTAGTAGCGACAATTAGAGATTAATTTAGATCAGTGTCTGACATATAGGAAACACTCTTATTATCCACAATAAAGATCATTTTTAATTTTCAGTTTTGACATATGATGTAACATTTTTAACATGATAAAATATTCCTCCAGAGCAGGTTATATTTTGGAAGTAGAAGAAATAATTTCTCCCCTTTCATTGTTAATTTAAGAACATTTAATATTGAGATGTTTTACTATTTGATATTGATAAATATCTCACTTTTCAACCAGTGTGTCAGCATCATGTTCTCTTGCTTCTCTTCCTGCTTAGGTCACAGTGCCGTTGATATTACCAAGGTGGCTAGAAGACACCGCATGTCTCCATTTCCTCTGACATCTATGGACAAAGCCTTCATCACAGTCCTGGAGATGACTCCGGTGCTTGGAACAGAAATCATCAACTACAGAGGTACTACTACTCTGTTCGCTCATTGCCTTTTCTTTAAATGTTTTTCCATGTAACATATAACACTAACACAGTTTTCCCAAAATAGAAGGTTTATTTATCATAAACACAATTATTACACTCACACTTTTTATTTCTGCTCAACTCTTGCCTCACTTTTTTTTAATTGCCTCACTTTTAAATATACATAGAGTAAAATGTCAACTGTTGGTGTTGTTAGCAGTTTTCATATCAGCTCCCTGTCTGGTGGTGATCTCGTGCACCAGGGAATAAAACACTATCTGATCCTACCCATTCCTGTCATCAATTGCAGATCAAACATTGCAACCCATAGAGTTTTCACTGGCTGATTTCTGGAACAACATTGCCAGACTCTATTCCTAGTCTCTCTTAATTTGAAAGGTCAGCCGAAACCACTCCAGCATCGTACCAGGGAGTTGATGCACATAACGTATACCCACTGGGAATGGTCTCCTTCATGAAAGGCAAGAATTCTACCACTCAACCAACAATACCCCTAAGCACTTATAAAGTCTTCATTTAAAAAAAGAAAATATCAACACCAGAGCTGCTGCTCATCAAAATATAGTACTCACCAGTACTATAACACTGGGCAGTGCAAACAGTTAACTTGCTTAGATGCTAATTTAAAGGTTTGCTCATTGGATCCACCCAGAGGTACAGTCGAAGAAAAGCGTAGTGTTCTACTTGAGAAATATAACCAAGAATCCTATGGGACGCAATAATTTTCTGATATGTACTGTTCTACCAAGCTATTTACAGCCTCTGAAAATCTGCTATAGAGTCAATGATTAGTCATTTCTGACTCAAAAGCACATAACAACATTACTAGGCTTAAACCTTTTCCTTTATTGTTATTTTACTCTTCATTAAGGAAATAGAGCCTAGAAAGCTCACTAGAGTAGGAAATTAATCTTCATTATTCTAGAAATCAGTTTTAGTGAAAAAATTATTTTTATTATTGAACATAGAATGTTTGCATAATTTTGCTGTCAACTGACAAAAAACAGTTTAAAAATATATATATATGTATGTATATATATACATAAGTTGGAAAAGTAATATTCTCTGAGTATAGACTTCATAATTTTAGTTTTTGGCCCTTTTTCTCTCTTATATATTCCTTCCAGCTGACCTCCTAGAAACCAGTGGTTTCAAATACTACCTGCTATAAATCTCTATCTCTCCTTATGTCTTTATTTTTTAAATTTATTTTGTACATAAAGAAATCAAATATATATTATTTTATACATACAAAATTCTTATACACTGTATTTAATTCATATGCGTTGTGTTTCATGCATTCCTTCATTCACATTGTGTTTGCTATGATCATTCCTATATATTGTATTTTATTAAATTAATCCTCATTGATCTATGCTCACTATTATCCTGTCTTTTCAGGTTCCCATTGGATCTTTTAATTCCTTCACTCCCTCCACAAACCAAACTCTACAACTTTAATTCATAAACTAATTGCATTGCATACTTCCTATTAGTAGGTTTTAATTGACCAGAACTAGTACTAACATTGTTACGTTTATATGTGTTTCTTCTATATCCTTTTGAGTCAATCCTTTGTTTTCATCTTCATTTTGATTATATTGGTTTAGATATGTATTGTAAACGTCTTAGATTAATTCAGTTGTATTCCAACTCAACTTGTCATTTTCCCACTTCGTTCTCCAATTTGATGGCAAAGTAATCTGTTGAAATGGCACATTTATTATTGAAACTCCTTGCATACAACTCTATAGTAATCTTCCTCATAACCTCAAGGTAAAATCTAGATTCCTCCACAATTTCGATAAGACCCTTTATAATAAATTCTCTTTCCACATTTTTCTGTTTATTCTCTTATCTCCTTTTCAGCCTTTGCTTCTTCCTAAATCTGACATGTTGTCTCTTACCTGTGATTCCCTCTTAACTCCAAACCTTTGCCTATATTACTGTCTGCTTGTACCAACTTTATCCTACTTTTTTGCCTGACTACTATGAAGTCTTTTCTTCCTTTTTAATTTTACATTTTTATTGTGTTTTGAGTGAATATCTACAAAGTATATGCTTTATAGATTTTTCCCCAGTCGACCATTCATGCACATTTTATTCTGAACAGTAGTTACAATACATATAATGTCGTTCACATTGTCCTTCCCTTCTCTCAATCCAGTAAAATGTTTATTGTCCATCAGTTCATGTTCTACTTCCCACCCCTTTTCCCTTCCTGGTAACCAGACTCTTGAATCTCTCCATATGTAAATCTTTCTCTAGGTTTTATGACAGGAGTCTAACTTATCTCACTAAGCATAATTCCCTCTTTAAGATAAGAATTACAAAATATCTTTTACTTGTTAACTACTTAGAAGTCTACCTAATCCTTTTCCTACCTAGGTTAAATATTCTTTCTTTTTTTTTTATAATTATATTTTATTAATTTTCATAAACATTTACAGAGATTTTGGGCTTCCACTCATTCATTGTTGCACTATTCTCTCT